GCACATAATAACAGAACTTTTCTGTAACTTCCAGTCATGTTAAATGGCACCACGTTTTCATATTAGATCATGTTAGGTGATTAAATATCCTGGTACCCCGGGACTTGAAAAACAAAGAAAAAAAAACACCTTCGAACAGGTGCCTTCAACTTCTACTCATGATGATAAACGTGACTAAATTTTCACACGCAAAACTATGTATTTAATACCACTAAAACACAGTCCTTCTTTTTGAGCAACAATGTTACGATAAAGAATATGGCGGCGTCTCGAATAGCCTGCGAGCAGCTCTTATGCGTTGCGTCATGAGCAAAGTCGCGAGGGATAGGTCGGCGAGCGAAGCAAGTCGCTTCGTTCGCCGACGGCTTTGCTCGTGCCTCAACGATGAGAGCCTGCTCGCAGGCTATGTCTGGAATATCTTCTAGCCTTACCATAATTTCTGGGCAACTTGTTCATACTCTCACCCATTCCTCCCATATGGTGTCAAATTCCCCACCCCAATGACAATCGATGATCCCAAATTCTTATCCTGGTATACCCAGGGCATGTTAATTTTTCTATTTGAGCGATTCATTGCATACATAGCCGCACAATGAACAAAATGATGCCGAAGATAAAGAGCACCGTTAACGACCTGCAGAGGGCTTGCATGGGCAAAAAAGAAATATTTTTGCACAAACAACTTTTGCACAAACCCACACACTGATCGAAAAGAGTAGGGGACGTAGTTCCCGGTGTGGTGATCTATCTCTCATCTGATGGTTAAATGCTTGGAGATATTAGCTACATAAGCTATTCTGAAATCCGAGGGTAAATAAAGCGATGAATGTATGTATATGTATGTATGTATGTCGAGGAAGTTAAAGTTTTGAGCATCTACTAGCTCATTCATCATACTGCAAAAGACTTAATCCAGTCAAATTTTTATGCGCATTTTTATTTCTATGTTGACAGGAAGTTGATCAAACACTTGAACACAACAACAAGCAAAGAATGTTGGAAGCCTTAACTGCAGCTGCCTCCCTTTCCTCGGCAACACGTAGGATATACCAGCATTATAATTTTTTCGTTTCAGTTTGCCGTAACAATAAATATCATCTTTCATTTTCTTTTAAAGCCTTGACTGCCTTAGTCATTTCATGTTTGGCGGCCCTTCCCCTCCAAATTTCGATGATAGCAATTGGTGAGTGTAAACAAACTTAGGAATTAATTCATTGCATTTGCTTTGAAAATGATTCAATATCCATACATCGACAGACAGATACCTGGCAGATGGAGTGAACGCCATATTTTTAGCCCAGGGATGGGAGACTCCCACATAAAAAGGACAGGGGTGCTCGTCGTACCTTTTCGGGGTTTAAAAAAAGCGGTTTGAGTACCCCTTGGGGTGTTCAGCCTCAAAAGGTCCGCAGTGGAAGCTTTCGCAGTACCTTTTAAAGTACTGAGCAAAGGAGAGGTTTGACTATCAACTGAGTTTTAATTCTGTCTCATTTACACCGGGGTTTCACAACTTATCAATAAAAGAGTGCGCATTCAGTTAATGTGTTGGTTTGGAGTTGGTGCCTCTTAGGGGTGAAAAATTTAAAGCCACACTCGTAACACGGGATCTTGGTACCTCATTGGCTTTTTCTTCAAAATTTCCGATGAGCAGCCCCCTCCTTTTCATGTGGCATTCCTCCCCCTCCCGGATTTCCCTGTGGTTGGCAAATCAGCCGAGTCTTCTCGGGCTTTTTATTATAATAAGATTGCACACACGTGTGAAATGAAATAATTAAACCAACGCTATATTCCCAGCTACATAATGAACAAAGGAGAAGTTTAGGGAATGCTTGCATTGGCCAGAGCTACTCTGCGATAAATTCATGAAACAAAATCAACTAAGCTATCTTGACAGAGCAGATCACCAGAAACGATGTACCTTAGACTTGATATTATGCGACAAAGCGTGCATAATTATTTAAAACTGTAACATCCATCATTTTATTGATAACGCACTGGATTGTGTCTTTGTAGGAGCTAAATATAAAGACGAGTGCCCAGTGGAACCATCGATCCCGATTTACTTGATTGTGGCTGGAGCGGGTGGTCTTGTCGCCAACTGCTGTTCCTACGGCACACGATATCAGGATGGAGCCGAAGGAGAGGAAAGATGTGTAAACGCAATACTGCAGCTAGTGGTGCAACCTTTCATCTTCGCTTGTTTCGTCTACGGAAACGTGTTGATTTATAGAAACCGCCAGCCGAACTACGCAGATCCAGAGAGCGCTTACTACTGTAACAAGACGTTGTACCTGTTTGCATTCTGGGCTACCAACTCTTACTACATTATATTTGTTCTGGTGCTGACCCGCGTCTGTGTTGTCGGCTTCATCACGGTTAGGATGATTTGCTTCGCAAGAAAAGAATAACATTATAGTTCTTTTTTTAAAGAAAAGTTTTCTTAATATATGTGGCTGACTAATAATATGTAGCTGACAAATGATTCATTTACATTCTGCTGACACTACCTATAACGAAAAATATCTTGTAGAATTGAATGTTTTTAAAATAAGAATTTTAAGGTGAATTATATTGGCTATTAGTATAAATCTACTAGCGTTCTATCACGAATGCCCTTCTCTGATTGGCCACGCTACTCACTATCTATTCTGTGATAGATAGCGAGTAGCGTAGCAGTGTGCCCTTGTTAACAAAATGACGGCCGCTTATTGGCGTTTTCGAAGTGTCTGTGAAGAGGATTTAGATTAAGTTTTGAACGACTAGTAGATTTATACTAAAACAATTAGATTATTCGCTCTCGATTTCTATGCGTGATAGTAATCTTGAGCTCATAATTTAATTGTTTAATAGTGTACGACGGTTCAGCGAAAAAGGTTGCAACTGCATTGGCCGGAGACAGTAAACAGCACTTCAGATAAGAATCAAACATGACGACTTCTTCTTCTTTATAAAATAACTGAGCGATTACACGCCCTCTCATTGGTCGATAGGTGTGTTTAGATGAGAGTATGTCAACACGGTTACGACGTTTTAGATTCGCGCGTATTTTTGAGAAATATTTTTTAAAAGCAATAGATGACTTTTTTCCGTGCCATCTATAGCCTTATCTAAATACTCGGGAGGTTGGATGAATTCTCGAATTCTCCCAGTTCTCCTAGCCTCGTGTTTAGATGAGGCTCTGTAAACACGGAAGAAGTCCTCTGTTGCTTGAGGACGTAGGTGTCCATTGTTACTCCGCGCGTAATTCATGTCGCAGCGTCACGCACGTCATACATCAAGCGCTATACAAGCTCTACATCAAGACTTGTAAGATTACTCTCTACAAAACAAAAATAACAGTGTGTAGTACCTAGGTAGACTATAGACAAAGAACTGAAGTCATTTTTGGGCAGTGATATAACTAGATGTTTTGGGTTTCAAAACACTAGCGCCAACCGAAACGTCGTTTACATTGCCGAGCACTTCAGTGCCCAAAAACAAACTCAGTACTTTATGTTTTCCAGTCTCCAGTTGCAAATCAGGGATATTATTGCAGCTACTGCGGAAAGTATGCATTTGATGTAGACATTTTGCAAGCTTTAGAAATGTGACCTGAAGAAGATCTTAACGGCGAAAAATAAGCACTTTAATAATCCATGTATTTGACGCAAGATAGCCCGGCCAAAATGGCCGCATGATT